AAGACCTAAGACAATCTTAAAATAAGAATAGACTATTAGCCTGTGATAATTGATTCATCATATCTTAAGAAGATCCTAAAATGGATCGTCTGTATTACCGACTAAACGCAATAATTTTTGTATCACAACCTTTTCCTCTTTTACAGATTTAAAAATCCTTTTTCAGGATTAAAGTACACATATTAATATGAGTTTGTGAAGTGGTTATATCAAGAACAAAAAAGTTGTTTAAATTGAAATCTTCTTTACCATTTCTTACTCCAATATGGCATCAAAGCTGTCAATATCTAACAACATTTGCTTGATATAAAAGCTTTGCAATTTGTACTTACGAAATTGTGGTCCACAGATTGATAGTTTATATATATGAACAAATAACGTAAAGTTCTTAGAATTAAATTTAGACTTCTAATTAAAACAATTATTGTTCTACGAAAATCTATGTATATGTGTGTGTGTGTGAGATATTGATGTAGTAATACATATAAAGTAACATATAAAAATTTGTCGATATGTCACATTTTATCAGTAAAACATCGATCTCATCGGAATTCGGGCTTCACTTTAGGATCCCTTTAAGACTATCTTTAAATAATATTTACAATTGATTCTTATGTTAAAGATCATTTAGGCTCGGTTGCACCAATGTTACTTTGACTTTAAGCAAGGCTTAAAATTCTTTGTCTCTGTCTCTCTTTCGCTTAAAACGAGACAAAGAGAGTTTTAAGCTTCGCTTAAAGTCAAAATAACGTTGGTGCAATCGGATCTTAAATGACAATATAAAAGCCTGTTGTCTGTATTCATAGTTAGATCTTATATGTAAAGCTTCCTTAAATTTATCTTTAGATGCTCAGTAGTCAATAAAATAATTCGTAAAGCAGCTGAAGATAAATATAGATAAGGAAATCTTAAATATAAAGCCTGGCTATAAATACAAACATATGTTTACTTTTTTATCTTATATTTTTGATCTTCCTACATTGCCAAAAACTTTACGAGCACATTCTAAGGTACACACAGTTTAAACGATATTGTGATGATCGACATTCATAATCAGTTCTTATTTCAAATGCACGCACGCATGCATACATAATATATGGTGCAATTAGCATCTTAAGATATAACTTGAGACGATCTTGAAATAAAAATAAATTTACGAATAATCCGTTCATAATCTGTTCTTATTTTAAAACTGTTTTAAATAATATCTTAGTCCGGATCTACAATAGGTGTTTTAAATTTTAAGCCATAAGAAGTTGACTTAAGTACATTCGAATGCAAGGAGAATAATTGATTGTGATTCGTCCATTCCTTATGACTTAAGGCTTAAAAATCTATAGATAGATCCAGGGTTAAGGTGTTAATACAGTTCTGTGATTGGCTTATGATATTTTAAACTAGTGTACTTAAGACTGCCTTATAATATAAGAATTCTGACTATGAATATCGGCCTGACTATGGGCCGGTTTCATCAACTTCAATTAACCTAATCGGTTGATTAGGTGTTAATCGAGATTGGTTAATTCTACTTAATAACAAATGTGATTGATCAATTCCAATACAATTGGTCAATTAATTGAAGTTGATGAGTGCCCGCTCTGTGTGCACAGAAAAAGTAGACTTGTGAGACCTATTGCTTCTAAATAACAATGTCAATTATTGCCAATTTCGGTTGACTTTTTTTTACATGTAGATTACACAAGTGAAATTGTCTATAATTTAGAAAGAAAAAGTTATATGTCTTGCTGGAGAATCGAATGATATTTTTCACTACACTCTGCACATTCTTTATACTTGTGAAAAATATAGAGAGGTAGAGATAAAGATACCAGTGTTATCAATAAGCCAGATAACGGAAAAATCATAAATTTTGCCAAAGATAATGCAATAAATAAAAACAAATTCTAATTAGATACACATTGCAGCTGTTCATTGCAGTTACATTTTCCGCATGTTATTTCCAAAGTTTGAATGTAATAATTCCACTTTAAACGCAAAATAAAGCTGACAAATGAGTGTTCTTTCAATTTTCATGCTCGTAATGTTACCGTATATTTTCTTCCTATTGATGCCTAAATATATATTTATTATGAAAAAAATATGAGATTTCGTACATCCAAAATATTTTTTCTGCGTCTTTTCATCTGAAATCTATAGTGTGCATAAGACACTGTAAAGTAACATGACATGACGTGACGCGAAAGATAACATCGAGCGCGTGTTCCATTCTATTCCACGTTCCTATCTACTCGCCTGGCTTATCACTATGTAAGTATGCAGCAGTTAGCAAGTATGCAGCCGACGGTCAATTCGGCGACATGTGTCAGCCTTGTAACGCGCAGCGCATATACGGCGTATAATTATTCGCGCAATAACTTTTTTTTCCACCTTAAAAAAGAAAGACACACCGAGTGCATACAATTATACTTGTTTGTAAGAGAAATGAAGATTCGCTTCGTACTCACTTCTGGATTGTGAGATATTCCACATGGACGAGCACGTCGTTTTATACTTGAAGGAGATATATAAGTATGTATATGTATATCTTTCTTTCTTCCTCGGCAGGAGACCTTCTCTCATGCGAAATCCATGAACCAAACGCGAATACTACAGAATGTCACGTATTAACGACACTGCTCCGCGACGCGGAGCATCGTCTTCATGGATACCTTCGCAACGATAAAATGCCAGGAATACAATGACAATGACAGCGAGCGGCTGGTACTGATGGTGTTGATGGTGCTGATGGTAGTGGTGGGAAAGATGACGACTATCAGTTCTCATTACGGCATTTACGGCAGCTGGATCATGGCAGCATGCAACCATGCGCACCCCGCACTTCTATCGTCTCGTAGATCTCGCTATGGAAAGATTGGAAAGTCGAAATTCGTACGTTTGCGAGACAAACACACACAATTTCGTCGCGCTATTCAAAATTGTTATGCATGTGCGGTGTACTGCAATAATATGCAACAATGGCCTTGTTTACACCCAGCCAAGTCCAATCCCAATATTCCCCCGAGTCACTTCAGAGTTCGGAGTGAATTTCTCGGATGTAAACGGGTTAAGTTTCGATGCACTTTAATCCACTTTTCTCAGCGAAGTAGAACAAACTAAGATTGAAAATATCGAATTGTAAACGCTTCAGATCGAAACGTAGCAAGTATTACCAACATATAACATGGTAACCAACTAACAGCAACAAAAACAAAGGCAAAAATATATGAATATTTTGACATTTTACTTTCATTTCGCTCCTGCTACGAGACATACGAGAAATAAGATCAATTCGATACGTTCTCGTGTCATAGACATAGTAAAGAATCAACGTTGACAACCTCCATATTATTACAATAGTAAGTCTGTTCGCGTTGCTTGCACTTTTGGCACTCGACATCTTCGTTTTCTCTCTTTTTAAGGCAAAATATGTATCTATCTCATTTTAAGTGCAAAAATATTTGGAGATTTCATGCAACACGAATAGACCTCATATTATGGCCGTGATTAGAGACAAATATGAACAAAAAGCCCGTTCTTCTTATCTGAACTTTTGCACCAGTTTGTCTTTCTTGCTCTTCTTTCCTTTTGGAGAGAAAAGAAAAAAAGATAAATTGATGCAAAAGTTTAGACAAGAAGAACAAGTCTAAAGAAAGCAGGGGATCAGTTCTGTACCTTCAAACAGGATGAAAATTACAAAAATGAACAATTTACTAGATGTTGACCAATGAAATTATCAGTATTCTAGTAAGTTCGCTCACTTTTGTAATTTTCATCTCGTTTCAAGATACAGGATCGATCTCCAGACATTCCATAAGCGGAAATTTATAGTGGAACTAAACAGCGCGACCAATCATAAAACGGGGAGCACAGACTCTTGCATAACGCATAAAAAATAATGCATAAGAAAATGAACCAATCAAAATCCTTTATTTCCTTCCTTTCTGTGAAATGAAGGACTCTAATTTGTTGATTTTCTTGTGCCTCATGTTTTATGTAAGGCTAATTCTGCAATGCGTTATGTAAAGCTAATTCTACAATGTGCTTTTCATTTTCTGTTTCTTGCTGTTTGTCTCTTGTTGACCAAAAAAAACAAGAGACAAACAGAAACAAACAGCAAGAAACAAAAAGCACATTAGCCTAAGAATCTGTGTTTCCAGCTGAATGGACCTTTTACAATAAGCCATTAGTCATAAATCAGAAGTTAGAAGTTAAAAATTGACCAATCACAGTCATCAATTTTTAACTTCTGACTTCTGCTTTATAACTAATAGCTTATTGTAGAAGGCCAGAATGACTCTACAGCCATTTGGGTGAGATTTTCTTTGTGCGTTTTTGGCCGTGTTCCAAATTTATTTCCAGCACTGAAAATGCTACAGTTTACGTTACGTGCATTATAGATTTTCAGTAAATTTTGGGCAATCAATTTTGGAATACAGCCTTTGTATTTGTATTGTATTGTTTGCAGTACAATATTATTAGTTTTTAACTCTTAATTATTTCAATATTCACAAGGAACGCGAATTCCCGTAAGGATGTCGGTCTTTAAAGAGCCGTTTACATAAGTCGAAAACGCAGAACGCAGTTCGCAGATGCATTTGCGACAGCCAATCAGAAATGCAATAGTACTAATAATAGTTAGTAAATAGTACTAATAACAGCTTTTGATTAGTTGTCGCAAATGCATATTGCGTTTGCGACTTATGTAGACGGCCCTTAATAGTACCTCGTCGGTATCCGTACTATTGAGTAGATTAGACAAGAGGTCTGTTTTTTATTGCTACACTCTGAACTGATGCAATAAGTTGAAGCGAAATAAAAGTATATTTCACTTCAACTTATTGCATTGTGTGTATCAGTTCAGAAAGTGCAGCAATAAAAAACAGACCTAAGGATAGATCATCAATTTGAATCAACTTTGATTGTTCATCCTTGTCTAACCCACGTATATAATAGGAAAAGAACCATAAAAACGTGAACTACGAGGTTTGGAATGTAAACGAAAAAAGATATCCATTTTCAGATTTCTCTCTGCTGCTTTTCAGCGTTTCATGAAATGGCACTTTAAAGACCACAGTACGGACTTTTGCGTAACGCATTAAAGCATAGTGCATAAATAAATCAACTAATCAGAATCTTTCTTTTCTCTCATTCCATGGAAAAGAAGAACTTCGATTGGTTGATTCCCTTATACACTATGCATTATGCGTTATGCAAGAGTGTGCTGCGGCCATTATGCGCATTCTCATCTGGCTTTTTCCATCGTGGTTAACAGTAGTGAATAGTGTGCGACTATATGATTTTAACAGAATGATACATAAGTAATTTTGTACTCGTGGGGGGGAGGCTAGTTCTTTAGTACATTCTGTACTCTGTAATAAACGAGATACAATAGAATGATCTAGATGTATCTGCAAAGATGCTTGGTATAATAGTAGCTGGACGACTCGTAAGTATCGAATTCTGTTTTTATTATCTCTTATAATAATGATAGTATGAAATTTATTTAATCAATTTGTGAAACAAATTCTTTATTTTAAAAGTTTCTATTTTATTAAGCTGGCGAAGTATTACAATAAACTCTAAATACTATAAGTAGTTATTTTCGATTACTTTGTTTTTGTAATATAAAATTTTGTAATTATTTTGTGTATGTGTGTGTAAATTAGTTTTATTGGTAATAATTTTGAATCAGTTTTGTTTATATAATTTTTGGGTCCAAGAGAGAATTAAATATTCTAAAAATTTATAAGTTATTATGTTACTCAAGTATAAATTTTAAGTTTTTACATGAAGTGAAATTTAACTCTATTTTTAATAATTTTGCTGTAAATATTTTTATCTTAGTAATACTAAATTAATACTATATATTTATTTCAATAATAATGACAATTATATAAAATTTTGTATTACAAACATTAGTTAAATTTAATTGAGATTTATTTAATTCTTTATATATATATATATCAATTTGTACTAATAAGATTAGTATATATAAAAGGAAATACAGAGAATAATAAATTTTTTAATTTGAAATAATAAATATTAATTAGACTCACATATGAACAAAATTTAAATGTAAAGAAAAATAAAGCTAATAAGCCAAGCTGGATATTTTGGATACTGTATAATTAAGTACATTAAAATTAATATCAAAATCACAAACATAAAAACAATCAATACCTTAAACAATTGGTCATCCTCAATATAAAATGAAATAATAATCGAATTTTTATGTTATTTTCATAAAAAGAAATTTTAAATAATAACAATTTATGATATATATATGACAAGATGAAATCACTTCATCTCCACAAGAATCCTTGATATTATGATGATTTTTCTCGTTAATCAGAAAATTAGAAACTAATAGAATCTTCCTGCTAAAACTTTTGATAGCCATTAACATTCATCCTCTATACATAATTTTGTATAAATATAATTTTTATTTTTTAGGTCCAAACTGACTTTCAACAAGTTGGTGAGAATCAGTTCTTGATTACTATACCTGATGCTGATAATATAAACCATATAGTAGTGTTCCTGACTGGTACTATTCCTTTTTCAGAAGGTGTAGGAGGTGCAGGTAAGAATTAGTTTTGAAACAAAGCAATAAAATAGTTTTGCATATGACTATAGAGATGTTCTATATTAAAATTGATCATTGAAAAATTATTCTTTACAGTATACTTTAGTTGGCCAGATCCAAATGCGCCACCTAATTGGCAATTTCTTGGATATATTTCCAATTCTAAGCCATCAGCCATCTTCAAGATATCGAATTTGAAGAAAAATCATGAATTTGTGAATAGCAATTTAGGAATTTTTGGGGTTGGTAAGATCTCACACTTTGCGCAGATTGGTGTGTCAGTTGATCCATTGACAGTGATTGAGCAGCAGATAGCTACCGTTGCCGCAACTACAACTAGTTCTTCCTTGGAATTTGTACAAAAGATGTTGACAAGTTTTGTGAATTATGTGACTAGTTTTACAGTGACACAAGCTCAAATGACACCAAATCCTACTGAGAACTTTGTGCCTCTGTCTACATTACAGAGCTGGTATGAAACCTTTGAGAGGCGGTTACAGCAGAATCCGAATTTTTGGAAATCGTGATTGTAGTTGTAATCATATAGTATGAAATTTGATTTTTTTCTATCAATATGTAAAAATATATACATAATTATATTTTATAACAAGTTTAAGCTTTATTTCAAAATTATCATAAATTCTCATTTGAATTCTCTATTAAATTATTAATATGAATTCATTACTTTCATATTTTCGCTAATAAATAATGATACACTAGGATTTATATATATAAATTTTCAAAAATTAGGAAAACAGCTTATAAATAGTCACAGCTAGATCTTAGTGCCTAATAATGTTTCATATATATTTTAAATACATCTTTTCGCCGATTATTGTCGAATTTGCAACTCAATCATAGACTGAAATAATATAATCTCACAAATTAAATTGATTATTAATTTTAATGATAATAACAACTTAAAACTTACAATTTATTGCGATAAATAAATATCATAAAATAAAAATTTTTATTTTAAAATGCATTTAAGATATATTGAATTTAAATAATAATCGTAAGCAACTTTAATGCAATGTAGATATACATATTTATTTATCATCATTATTTATATGACATCAAATACCAAGTTTTATTTTTGTGTTAAATTAGCTTACAATACTTCTTATTTTAAGTTATCATTTTTTGTTATTTTATTCTATTGAATGCATCTAATCATTCATATTTTCAAAAACTTTTCATGAAACGATATTATGATACGATTTCTATATTCTAAAATGTGTTTTTCTTCAGATAAAAATTTTGACTATCGTTAGGGCCGTAACATACAAAAAAAAAACTTAAGCAATAAAATGTAAGTAGCCAATCCCAACATGTTGATTTCCTTATTGCTTACATCTTATTGGCTTAAGTAAGTTTTTTTGTGTGGCATGGTACAGAATTATATTATAATAAATAAGATATTTGTGAAAGGAATCGACAAAAATGGATGTGTGATATTCTTAATTTTTATAATTCATAATTACGATAAAAAGCGATTAAACATTTTCATATCGTTTTTCATCGGTTTCTTAAATAAGGTTTTGCTAAAAGAACATGACGTTTTTTTCAAATGAGCAATGAAAGATGTATATAAAATATTTCGACTATTTAATATTCTAATAAGAGCGAATAAAGGTATATCAATTGTACACGAGGCAATTGCGCCAACCACACACAACGTCAGAAAAAAATTTTTTTAAACTCCCTACGCAGAAATCGCTGTGATTGGCAATGGGCAATTGCTACAGTGTGCAAGTAAACCACTTAAGGATCGTCTACATAGAATTCATAGACGATCGTGGGATCTTAAGTCATAAAAAACCAACTAATCATAATCCAATATAAAGAGAATACTCGATCAGAATTGGTCAGTTTCCTATGACTTAAGATTCCACGACTGTCTATGACTGACTATGTAGAGGAACCTTTAATGCAGGGTCTATAATAGAAGTCATAGCGGTCGTAGAGTCTTAAGTCGTAGAAAATTGATCATAGTATTATTCTCATATTCTACTGTGATTAATTTTTTTTTACGACTTAAGATTCTACGACTATCTACGACTTCTATGTAGAGGACCCTTTACGATTACATAAGCATATAAAACTAGAATCCAGAATCAAGTTTTGCGAAGCAAGTTTTCTAATAAGTTAAAGTATTCGATATGATACGCCGAATAATCTTTACGAATCAACAATTTTCTCTAACAATTACATATTAGTTATAGCACATTAAGTATCAGAAAAAAATGAATATTTTCTTGTTACTAAACCACTTAATTTCATGTTACAAGAAAGCTTTCTGTAATAGAAAAGGGCCAAAATACTGTCAAAATTTAAATATCGGCAGTATGAATCATATTACTGTAACACAATGATTTACTTAACATATATCGGTGCTAATTCAATTTCTTTCGAGACATTCTAATTACATATGTCAAAATTTACAACACCCTTTGTACATTTTAGAAAATATCGGATAGATTTTTCTACGTAACTATTTTTATTAATTTTCTTTTCAATTCCTGTGAAAAAGTATGTGCCAGAAAAATTTTATATCATCGTATACATACAATCATTGGGTATTTAGTTACTATGATCGCTCAGTGAGCTCTTGTACCTGTTTAGTCTCTGATTTGTCGCTCATCCTTGCTTTGCAGAAGAAGTTGAAACTAAAATGAGATTACAGTATCTCAAGTTTTAATTTTCTTTCTATAATTTTTTCACTTGGATTGATTTTTTTTACGATATGCAATATGCACATGTAATTTAAATATACATTATTTTTTCATAATTATTTGAAATAAAAAAGAACTTTGTATCTTTTGCATGATGTGTGGTGGAGTAAGATTACTCTAAAGTAACATAATAGAATTTCTAGGATATACATAATCAAAATAAGATGTAAGTGCACAATCGATAAAGTAGAAAATGTTACCGCATATAATAGAACTGATTCTTATTTATTAAATTTATTTAACAATTATAATTATTTCCCAAACTTATGAAACAATTTTCCTAAACTTTCCCAAACTATTTTCAAACTGCAATAAAAAAAGAGAAATGTTAAAATATTTCTGCTAACTATACGCTCGATTAATTTTAATTGATTATAAATAAATTATTTCTTAAATTATGAGAACTATTTTCCTAAACTTTCCCAAACTATTCGCAAACTTTTATAATAAAAAAAAAAGAGAGAAATGTTAAACTTGTGTTAAATATATGAAGATCCATGTCGGTTGTATGTCATCTAAAATCTTTTTTAAGGAAAGCACCCACTTTTGCTGCGTCCAATCGTGCCGTGTCATGTCATTGTTGGAAAGCACCGTGTCCAACGCCCGCGCCATGTCGATGTGTGTCGCCTAAAAGTCTTGATAGAAAGCTCCCCGTGTCAACAAGCATGTTGCCACAATACGAGTCGAGTAGAAAATTCAAGGTCCCCGAAGGCGCGCGCGTGCGCGAGGCGCGAGCGTGTGGAGTGGAGGTGCAACGCGACGGTTTGGAGAGCTGTGCGAACTTCATGTGTGACATCACGCTTCATTGTTGGAGGTTTACGTCATTCTCGAGTCTGCTCGAAGAGTCGCGTGGAGTCGCGCAGCGTCGCGGGGACGAGTGCATGCATGTACGTACATACGTTTGTACGCACGCACGCATGCAGGCAGGCAGGCAAGACAGACAGAGAGACAATCTCGTCGTGAAAGACAACAAGCGATAAATGTCGCTGAACGCTCCAGTCACCAGTGTCTCTCGCGTGTAAAACAACGTCCGGGTAAAAAGACGTCCGGAGGTATACAAAAGCGTCGGTTGTTCCGTTACCCGAAAAAAGCACCTGGTGTCTTCGCAGAGATAAAAATTATTCCCGTTTAGAAATGCTCGGAAACGTGTCGGAATATAGTAATATTCGCTCTATGTCGCGAAGACTGTTATATTAATATTTACGAGTGAGATCCGAACGACTTCCGTCGATTTGCTCGCAGTCGCGTCGTATCGCATCGCACATGACGCACGTCGTCATCGACCGTGACTTCACCCAGGTGCACCCATTTCATCCTCGCTCAACATTCGGTGGAGCAAGACTAAAATGATAATAATTTCAACGTACCATCCCGGTGAAAATGTGATAGACTATCCGTACGGCGTTGTGCTTCTCCATCCGCCGTCTACGTCTACGTCTCTAGCGCCAGTTACTTAGTGCGCGCCTCTCTTTCATTTTAAATATAACAAGTGTATAAATAAGTATGAGCAATAGCGGGAGTGCGCGGCGAGGCTCTTTGCGTCGCCACCGCTGTTGATTTTTCTCCCGCGCGCTCGCGCGCCCGCGCGCGATACGCGTGGATACGCATTGTTTATCAACGTGTTCGGTGGTGTTCGGACAGAGATAAATGTAGAAAGAGTGAATGACAGCGAGAGTGTATACGAATGGTGCGCTCCGTCTTGCACTCGAAAAATCGTGTTCGTGCTCTTTGTCTATGGGTACGTAAACATCATCAAAGGTACCTGTTTCTTTCGATATTTGCTGCTGTTTGTTGCGCGACCCTTCCTGAATCGTCGATGAGGATAGGTAGAACAGAGGACGATAAACGACAAAAAGTTGTGGAGTGCGCCATCTTTATTTAGATTAATAATCTAAAATAATCCTTGTATATCGAGATTTCTTTAAAAAAATAATAAGTAATTTTTTTAATCGATCGACGATTCTGTGCGACGATTCTGTAATTGCCTTTAACGTAAAGAAATGACGGAGAGGTGACGCGAAGTGGTTGTGTGTATACATAAGCATCCATCAATTGCGGTCTCCCTGACAGGGGCGTTTAACTTTCTTTTGTAACTAACAAAATTTATGATGTGATAAGAGATTATTTTTTTTTTAACATGACGCAAATTATTTGTATGGGTCAATGAATCATCTGTTATTGTAATTAGAAACGGAAAATGTGATTACATGACGGTTTCTTGGGAATATTAATGAGTAGGTCTGTTTCTTATTTCTAAGACTTAACTCTTTCTCATTTTCATCAAATATTAAATTTATACCTATCTTACTTTAAGTTCCAAAAATGTATACTAGCCGCAAAAAAACAGACCCCGTAATATTTTAATGATTCAACAATGAGAACATCAACATATATGAATATTTTCTTTCCTTTTTCCTCCTTTTTATAATTAAAAAATTATAACTTATATACTTGTGCTAACGTCTGAAAAATAAACATGTAAATATGTTAAAAGCTCTCTTGTGTTTTATTCAGGTGAACTCGAAACATTTTTAATTAGAAGAAACTAGGATATAAAGCTTTATTCTTGGTGAAAAGCATTTAATGTACTGGCGTATCTGACAAAAATGTCATCAAGGTTAATACAGTTGTTACATTTAAAATTATAACAATTTATAACCTATGTTATATATTATTATATAAAGTACTTTCTATTTAATAAAATAGTTTTACTTATTTTAATTAGAGAATTATAACTTTTTTTTTTTTATAGAAAAGCTTAAAAGTTCCAATTGAAAAGAATATACATTCATATTTCCAGAAGTAGGCATTTAAATCAGTTTTAAATAATGAGGAATATTTATCATCAGGTATTGATCAAGCATAAATTTTACAATCACCAGTATTTCCAATGTAAGTATAGTATATTCATTTTTACTTAATTTTTCCTCGACTAACAATATCAAAACAAAGAAAAGAGAATTGCTTACTGTTGTAGATACAAGAAATATACGTGATGCTGTTGCTTCTAAACTGCTTGCAGCTATACAACAAGCTGCAGTACGATGCTGAGAATTGTTCTGAATATACTGATGCCTATATAATGTTAGAAGAATTCTACATATTTGCCGCAGAACTGGCACATCTGTGCGAGCAAGGGTAATATAAAAAAAACCTTTACAATATATTGACAGATCTGACTTGCTTTAGTTTTCAGTATTTTTGAAGATGATCAAATATTCTTTTATAAAATAACGGCTTCCATTCCCTCACAAACTAAATTATTATTTATAGAATAAATAATTATTTTCTATGTACTTGCATATCTTTGTCCGATTATTAGATAAACGGGGAATTCTATGTTTCAGGCAAAGGTATTGACCATTTAATTATGATTATAGTGGGGATATTTAAAAGCAATGATGAAACGAAATGCAATATCTGTCATTACAAAATTATTTAATACCTGGAAGTACGTTTAGTTACAAAATGATTAATTCATGCTATTATCTCGTATATCATATTACCACACTCTGATGAAATTTCGCTTACTGATATCATTGATGATGTTTCTTCTCTGCTATACAGACTGATGTAATTTCATGATCCGGTACAATTGTCGTTTTTAGTAACATTCTGCAGAAAAAATTGTCCAATATTTACTACAAAATATTTACTACATAGTTTTGAATAATGAATTTCATCGACGATATTTCTAATATATTTATCGAAACATTATAATAACCATTTATAGGTTGTTTACTCAAACTGAGGAGAAAAATTTCTTTATTTTCTATGCATTTTCGTTTATGTTTACAAACAAAATTCAAACATGTCCATTATTTTTGGACTTGCAACACAATTAAATTAAAATAATAATAATTTTCCCAAATTAAATTATATCTTTGTTGTCGATTTTTGTTGTTATTAATATCTTAAAATCGACGATCTAATTTAATTTGGAAGATTATTATTATTTCAGTTTGATTGTGTTGCAAGTCCGAAAGTAATTGGCGCACAGTCATATATCTGAGATAAATGTATTTTTAAATATTATTCCAACATTTAACTTTGATCATAATTAATGTTACTAAAAACTTGTACGGTCAAAACTGAATCTTTAATGCTTAAATAATTCGATGTGAAATTTGTATATACTATATATAAAAACATATAATAGTTATTTAAAAACTCAGCTAAATTATTGAAATAATATCACAATTAAATTTTGATGCTCAATAAGCATCTATTAAAGAGATCTTAATATGCTGGAAATCTGTAAATAAATTTATTTTTGTAAAAAGTATTATCGGCCTGAAATCGAACCTTACCGAGGTCTTAGTAATATTCTTCGCAATAATCATATATATATATGGAAATATCTTTCTTTCAGATGACATAATATAAACAATAAGAATTATTGGACCGTACATGTACAAAAAAAATAAATCTAGATTATTTTATAATTTTAGAAAGAGCTTATATTTAGAAAAAAAATGTTGACTAAAATGTAACTAATCATATTAGAAAATGTATTTAAAAAATGATTTAAATAAATATGTTAACATAATAACGAAAAAAAGAAATGAGATAATTAGATAAAGATGGATAATTTCGCTATAATAGTCTTATGATTACATCATTTCTTCTCATAAATATTGAAAAAAAATTCTTTTAAAAAAAATGAAACATTCAAATCTAAACAAAAAACTTATTAAAAAATTTAATAATAAATTTATTATAGTTTTGATGATTATTATAGCAAAAATAGAATGTTTAAAGAAATTATTTTTATAAAAATTTTCTGAGTTTTAATAAATTTTTTGAAAATTTCTTCATTTTAGTAAGTACAGAAAAATTCTTTTTTTTTTAGGTACATGCCATAATTTACATTTTGTGCATAATAAAAATTGTAAAATGTATTTATAATAGTTATAATCAAAATAGTGAAGATTGTGAAACTGAAAAAGTTTACTTCTAATCATAGAATTTGATGAATCAGTGTATGTATGCAGGTTTATATGCACGGTCGAGTAAATAGAAAAATCACTTTATAAAGTCCTTTGCAAATATAATAGTCACCACATATACACACATATTGAGTGTGATAATACTAGATCAGTATATGAATTTAAAAAAAAATAAAAAAATTACTACATATACATTATTCTTGATCTGTTTTAGAACAGCAGTTGTTCCTATGAACGCCTCTTGTTCATTACACGGTGATGGAAAAGGTACTAAACACAAAATTGGTTCAAGTAAGTCAACAAACAATCTGCTTATTATATTATGGGTTAACTATTTAATTGTGTCAATGAGACAATGTCTTAACTATTTACTTATTTATTGATTAATTTCTTAGAGAGGATGGCGTATGAGGTATTTTTGGGCGGGTCTTGTAATCCAACTACCTGGAGGTCAGATATAGCGATACCGACTCTTCAGAATCTTGGCATTACTTATTATAATCCTGTAAATAATTTAAATAATTTATCTTTGTTTTTTTTCATAATTGCATGCATACGACATATTGCAATTAAATTATGTATCACAGCAAGTGTCACAGTGGGGGCCGGAATTAATAGCCCAAGAATATGAGGCAAAACAGACGGCACGAGTCTTACTGTTTGTCATTGACAATCAGACGCGCAATAGCGCAGGCATCATTGAAGCAGCTCAACTGGCAGCTACACGTAGCGAGTCCTTGGTTCTTGTCATTTATCCGTATCGTCAAGGACAAGCTATACTTGGAGAGACTGTTTCCACACAGTACGTTCATATGATTTAATATAATATGAAATTATATAGATTTCAAAGAAAATATAAATCTCTTAATTTAAATTTAATATTTAATTGTTATAATTTCTTTCTTATCAATCTTATATTTTATTCTACAGGGAATATTATGACTTGATGAATGGGTTGTTAGTGCTTCAATATCTAATGGAAAGGCAAAGGGTACCAATATTCGAGAGTGTATCAGTTGCCCTTCATTGTACGTCCAAGGTAATGGCTCTAATTAATGAAAAAATGTATTCTTGAGATTTCCACAGCTTTCTGTATAAATTCTTGGCATTCCAAGAATGGATCTGGACACGGAGGAAACCCGCGAAACGCATAATCTTTATAATGAAAAAATGTATCAGAATGAGGATCGATTTTTCATCTGTTTAACTTGTTAAACTTAATCTGATATTTTATCCAATAGGCTTCATTCATGATATCATCATACATGAAGCCCATTCAATAAAACATCAGATTAAAGCTAATCACAAGTTAATCAGACAATGAAAAACCGGACCTGAATGATTAATATGTATATATACATGCATATATTATGTATAGATGTTACGTGAAAAGATCAATGTGCAAGATTGCGTGAACACTGAGGATGGCATCAAACCTATAAGAATCTCGCTTACTCAAAATGGAACGGATGTAGTGTAAGTTTCTAAGGTAATTTACAGGAAATTTACAGGAAAGCATATTAATGAATAAGACAGAATTAAAACAAGCAATTATCACTTAGTAACCTATGTCCGGAAATATTATATAATAACTTGGCGATGTGTAATTAACATTGTGACATGAAAGTGATAATTATTTAAAAATTGTGTTGATAATTATTTAAAAAGTGATTTAAAAATTAAAGAATTAAAATCGTAAGCATAAATAGATCAATAAACAATGTTAGTTTTTATTCATAAATTTAATAAATAAAAAAATATTTAGAAAGACCAAGAATTATATTCTTTCGAATTGTTTATATAATATTTAAATAATTGGAAACAATTACAATAATGATTTGATATGGCAGTCATCAACTTTATTTGTATATTGACAAATTGATGTATTTCTAGCTCTTGTTCCCATGTTTGGTTACTAAATGATGTTTACATCAAGATGTTTACATCGCAATTAGATGCATTCGATAAATAATACAGTACATTTGAGTATTAAAGAAAGAAAATACAAGAATGTAATTAAGTAAAAATTATTTGTTTCGGTTTTTATCTCTAAAAGTCTCTCAAAATGTTTCTTAGCATGCATATAAATAAGAAAAAAACAAAAAATATTTACAAACAATTTATAAAGAAATTTTGTTTACATGACAGAAAATTGCGAGAAATTTTCAAATCTATGGACGTTAATGATAGTGGCACAGTAAAATTGGGGGAAGTATGTACGTTTTATCATATGAAGTATATCTTTAAAAAATTATCAAACTTAACATGATCTTTTTATTCCAGGCTTGGATGATGTTACAGTCAAGCACAATGTGTAACAATTTGTCTCTCTTGGATCTGCTCAACACAGTAAATAAGAAGTCCGGTAATGCTTGCGTATTATATTTTTATGGCGTTTAACAAATTTGTGTTTTGATAGTAAAATATTAAAAATATTAAAGTACGATATATTTGCTGTGCAGAAATCTATAGGACATTAATAGATGGATTTCCGGCAAAAGGTGACCCAACCGAATTGCGAATAAATTTCGAACAGTTCTGCGTTTTAGCCAGTGAATCATCGTGGATGCGGATGAAGAGTAATGGCATCTCTTGCGAAAGTGAGATACCTTCAGTATGGAATATATTATGTAGGAAGACCTCAAATTTCTTGCGCCGAGTTTTCGTACATCCTTTTAATCGTTTCCTAGGTATTTCTGATTTTCAACAATTTCCCACGATCTTCAATGAACTCACTGTCTACACTTCTCGCCTGAATCTTCCATTTTCTCACTTCCCAAAATTGAGCACTCGATTTCGTAAAAATTAGGTAAAAAAAAAAATGAAGTTTCTTTTAAACTATCAAGATTTAAATTTTTTCAGATTGGACTAATTCCTTCGTACAAGAATTCGAGAAGAGAGACATTTATGTTGGTGTAGTCAGTAAAGATCTGTTTTGGTTAGAATCTTCTGCAATACCATTGATAGAGTGAGTATCAGCAGCTTAGTGATAATTACCTCTCACTGAATTATGCCTGTATCAGATTAGAGATTGTATTTAACCAATCAGAATCAATTATCACGAGTGCAATAATTCGCATAAGCGAATAAATATAATAGAATAAACATAATAGAATAAACATCGTAAGAGAATAAATAACGTAATAAAATTAAGAAATAATAAAAATTATGGAAGCAAGACCTCGATATATGTATATATAATATATTGTAAAACATAACATGTATTAATAACACAACTCAATTGTATGATCGGTTCAAACAACCAAATCGCAGTAATTGTAATTGCGAGAACACGTGCTAATTCGGCAAGAACGCTCTGTCAACAAGTCCATGAGGTCTAAAATCAAGGGAAAGAAGCAGGAACAAAAAATAACTCGTACATCTATGATTACGTTCGTCAACAGTTCGATTGTAAAAATGTTAAAATTCAATTGTAAAATAACATGGACAAGTACAATTAGAGTTTGAAGTTAATTCAAGTTAATTCCAAAGTATTCAATTCATTCTATGCCCTCGCGAATCTTTTAATTCTGTGCCGATCATCAATATTAAATTTAGTGAATTTTGCTTGAATCGGTCAAATTCAATTTCAATCTCAATCTCTGAGATGGGCATTAAATATGATTTATTTCATTTATTTGCGATTTTCCAGATCAATGAGGTTGTCTCTGTATCGACCAAGTTTGAATGAATACAACGTAAGAATATTGCCGCAAGAATTGCAGAAGATAAAAAACTCACGACTGATCCTATTGATAGTGCCGCAGAATTCGCGCGGTATCGCCATTATGGCACTGGCAGCTCATTTGATTGGACTGCACGCTAAGCTCGTCCTCTGTGTTCAAATTCTTCCTGAGGGTTCTATTATATCTGATGAACAAGTATGATTGATATTTTACATCCCTCCTTTTTCCCCAACACATACACATACACACTCATATACATATACGTACACAACACAGAATTAACAATTAAATTATGTAAGTCTCTTGAATAGTCGCCGCAATCATATAAAGATCATGACGTCATAAGCGAGAAATGACATGATAAAGTTTCTTGCATGTCATTTGTAAACAAGGAAAATTTAGGTAAAATAAAATAATGAGATCGTTTTAAAACACTTACAAAAATGGGCCGAAACTATTCTTACTCCCCCCCCCCTCTTTGACAATTAGTAAATAGTCATAAAAGGAAGTAAAATAGGCTACGCACATGCATTGAGTAAACACACCTTACAATTATTTGCTAATTGCCGAGAGGGGGAGGGGAAGGGGGATAAGAATAGCCAATACGGCCACAACGATTACTCAGGAGCCTTAGGATTAAATCATTCTAGTAAATTAAACTTCAAGCATCATATAATTTGCAATTAATAATGAAATTAATTTCTGTACAATATTATAAAGTTATAATCTACAATACATATTTGTTTTTATAAACATTTGTAGGAAAATTTTTTTTATAATTATAAAAGTTGATATCATTATTTTCTTTTTATTCATTTAGTTGACTGAACAAGCCCGAAAAGATTACAACCGGGGGAGGATGTACCTGTCGGACTTCGCAACGCGTGAAGGTGTACCTGTTTTTCAGAATATCGCTGATGCTTTACAACATGCGATACAATTAGTTCAAAATCCTTGTTGACCTAAGTGCTCTTTACTGTTTTTCTTTTTTCTATTTTTTTCACACAGATAAGCTCATTAGTTTGAGAATTAATTTATTTTTATTCTTAACCATGTCCAACTACCATTTGAGATCAATACATATACCATAGGTATAATGATGATAATGTATTATCATTATTATAACTATAAGAAGCGATTGTGTTAGTTACAGTAATTCATTATCGTTATTGGCTGCTTTTGCTAATAAGATTGCTTTTTCTCATAATGTTTTTTATCATTAATGTGTCTCATATACAGCCGCGTGTTATTTATGCTCTTTTCATTAATAATGTTGCTTGTTTACATAGTATTATTATTATTATCATTTTTAAGTTCTTGACAAAATTAAAACATGTGCAATCAAGACTTTATTTATCAAGATATTCTATTTATTGTTAGTATTTGTCATGAACACGGCATTTTGAAAGCAATTATTTTTACTTTGTTGACCGTTACACACGATTCTTTTATTTATTTTATTTTATTTTAAAAAATATAATTTTATATTGGTTTAATGAATCGAATAGCTAATCATTTTATTATATGCCTTTTTCTTATCGAATAACATTAAATCCTTATTTAGTTCATAGATTAATAGAAAAAACAATCTCTCACGGTAGATGGACAATTTTTCTCTCATTTTTTAAATTGTAACTTAACGTTCGCAATTTTTTGTAACCTTTTGGTAATGTGGTTGAGGATTGATTTGATATATATGTACATAAAACTCATTGTTTCTAACGATCTAATCAAATTATTAACTTTTGGAATCTGATAAAGGATGGATGCGAGAGAGAGAGAGAGAGAGAGAGAGAGAATGTGTGGAATTGCTTGTATTTTGAATGCGTGATGCGTATCTCAGCTGAGTATATACTGATAGGCATGCATGGAATATCATGAATATGCGTGGTACATTTCAACCCACACAAATATGAAATTTTAACTGTCAATGATAATGAAAATTTCAGTATAAGAAATTGTTGTCTTATTCAAATCAATGTACAACGTATAAATGAATAAGTGAGTAAAAAAGAAAAAAACAGAACCAATTAAAACGAGCTGCTGCACACACTTTCCATAACAGTAACCGTAAGACATACCTTAAGAATTAGCCAATCAAGAATTAAAAATTTTTAGCTCTGATTGATTAAAGCTAAAAACATAAAAAACGTAAATAATAAGCGAATTGGCCAATCACTTCTCTACTGTAATTGGTCGCTCACTGTTTAATTGTTATTACCTTGCGATTTTTTTTTACGTGTTTCTAACTTTAAAGATCATTTATACTGGAATAATGATTAATCGACTTCATTCTGCTCACATTCGATTGTGATTGGTCAGTTTCTTATAGCTTAGCATAAATTAACAGTTTACGGCCAATATAAATGATTAAGGGGATCCTAAAGACGATTAATCATAGTATAAGTAGAACTTATACACAATTTACAGACAATTTACGTGTCACTGACACATCACTACATATTACTACATTAACATCTCACGTACATAAATTTTCGTATAACAATGATGTTTTTTAATTAGGCCCGGTTACATAAACGTTACTTTGACGAGACTGAAACGAGACTTAAAACTCTTTCTGTCTTATTTTCCAAAAGTGTGACAGAGATAGAAAGAGTTAAGCTTCGCTTAAAGTTAAAGTAACTTTGGTGCAATTGGGCCTTCTAAGTCCAATTCTAAGAACTACACGCTATTTTTTCGTGCAAACTATTAATCTGTGGACTACTATTTCGTAAGTACAGATTGCACAGCTTTCATATGAAGCAAATGAGTGATTCCTAATAGAACTAACTCAAGTTCGAGTAATAGAAAGGAATAAAATCTGCAATTTATTTTGGATTCTGCAGTGGCAAAAAAATTCGTGGCCCTTCTGTCGCTGACAACCTTGTTTTTCCGGTTGTGATGGAGGTGGAAAAGTGGCATTCACAATTGAAACACTGTCGAAGTGAAAATAACGCGTGTTGAAAAAGACTCACACCAGTAAAAAATAAAAAGTAAATGTCATGGTAAAAGGGTGCTATACTATATTAACCTGTACCAATGAACAAACAAGTGCAACAAAAAAGAAATCTTTTCAAAGCATCAAAGATTAGTTTTGTAAGGTAATTGTTGAGTTTAGTCTCTTCACTTCCGATGTTGATAAAATTAGGCTCTATCTATCTTATTGATGCTTTGCTTGTTGAAAAACCAGAAGTATTAGAATACTAGAGAGAGAATATGACGATAATTTCTGACGAAACTTCCAAAATTGAGGGTATCGATCATGTAATTTTTTCCTTAGGACGAAAACGTGAAAAGTAAAAATTTTTTGTTTGTATGTGTGTAAATTATATAGTACTCATTAAAAGTTACGGGCCACCTAAATAATTTCTAAATAGTTCGAGATATAAAATTGAAATTTACAGGAATACAATGGGATCATAATATATAATGCACATAACGTAAAGAGCATTTTCAGCACTAACAGTAAATTTAGAACACAGCTCAAATAAAGTACAATAATAAGGAGCTTTTGCAATACGATAGACCCAGATAGATGAACGTTAAAGTCATGTTATTTGTGCAAAAGTCGAACCTAATTATTACCCAATCTGACCCATATTTTCGAATACGTCTCTACTTATTGCCTTATTAATGTAATTGTTTAGTATTATTGTTTATCATTATTTTTATTAATTTACATTTACATTTACTTTACATTTTATTAATTACGAAGTTTTGTAAAAGCAATTTCGTATTATATATATTTACAAATTTATTCTTTTATCACATTTTATATTTATTCTTTTATTATTAATCAATGTTAATTTGTTAATTTGAATATGTTAATTTGAATATCGCGTTACTATTTAGGACAAAAATTTTATTGATTAATCTGAATTGATTATTCTGAGAATTGTCGTTATACGTGTTGTCTCACCTGTTTTCTTCCACCATGGTTTGAAAAAACAAATGAGAAAAGAAAAGAGGCTCCAGAAAAAAATTGTTTATTATACTCCTTTACATGAATATAATATACACTCGTATACACATAATTTATTAAATATTTTTCTTTTCTTTTTAATTTATTAAATATGTTTCTTTAAATAAAATAAAGCTATTCCGTTTCTCATGCATTTTCTTTCAGCATCTTTTTTGAACGAGATCTTAATATATTATTTGTCATATGCGACAGTGAGTAAAAATTCTCAAAATTCTTATGCTCATATTTAATAATCATTACGATTAATGTGATCCCATCGAAGTGAATTAAAGATACTCGAAATATGTTTAACGTTATATGCGTAAAAAAAACTTATAAGAACCTCTGCATGAAATTATACGCTTATTGTTATACATTACCTTTTGATCGAAATGATTTCGAACGAGCAATCGCATGAGTGTCTGCATGTAATATATTATCGGTCAGATAAGTGATTTATTCAGTTTTCAGTCTATTGTCCTCGTCATTTTTATTTTCTTTAAGATCGACTTTTTTTTCTGTGTTATCCTTTCCAAGAAAATAGTACCTTCGTATATTCTTGAGAGATAACAACACCGGTATCATAGCCGGCAGAAATAGGGGAATGTATACGGCGTACCTGTAATATCATAAAATTATTTATTATGTAATTTAAAAAATATATGCTGAATTTTCGTAATGCTTTCTATTGATTTTATATGAATATAAGAAAACCCACAAAGAGGAATTAAATATTATCTCTTTTTTTATGTTACATAGACGTGGATCGTTTCAACCATTTCAAATAAAAAACAGTTTTTCGTTTCGGACACAAAAATATTTCATAATTTAATTAATCTCATAAGGACCATAGTATACAAGAATATAGTACTTCTAGGAAATAAAAATATCAACATAAACACGTATCTGCACAGCGAATAAAGAGTGCATCATTTTATTTAGTAATTTTAAGAACGAAAAACGGAATTTTAAGAAATTCCAAAATTTGGCTTTTTAGCAGGCTTTATGGCTTCGTAAAATATAAATCTAAACGAATTTCATGACAAAATATTTCTTCTACCAGATAATATATGATAGAGTCCGATGCCTTTGACAGTATTACGGTAATGACTCAATGTGCAACAAGCGGTCAAAGGGAGGAATTTTGCGTATGTGCAACAAGCGGTGTTCAAAGGGAGGAATTTTGCGTACGAGAGAAAGGACGTCATTTCGTAGTTCTTGCATTAAAAGATGAGAGTGGAATAGGCCTATTGGGGAAACCACTATTAAAAAAAAACGCACCATGCTATCTACCGCAGGGTGGTGAGGAAATGATAGCTCTCCGATATTTTTTCATTATTTCCACTTTTTTAAAGATAATTTAAAATTAACTTACTTTTGATCCTCTGGAAAGTAAAGAAGAGCCAAGAGTGTTGGGTCGGAAAAAGCCGCCTCAGAAATAATAAAAGCTTCTTTGCTGAGAATGAAACTACGTTTGAGATCGCCTCGTCGCAGATGCTCAGCAGATTCATGCACTAACCCAAGAGCAGTCTTGATTCTATTTCCTACTACATCTGTGATAACGATATTGCTAATTTCTTTAAGTAGTCGCGCCAGTGACTGCAGAGTTAATTTGGCCGAAGTTAATTGCTCAACAGTACGATATCTCAATAAGGAATCAATTTCCCAATCACGTGATTTTAATCCTACCAATGGCACAGCCGTCACTCCGTTAATAGATTTCTGAAAATTAATTATTTTTTAAATCGTTTACATTTTAATGAATTTTTGTATAGTATATAAAAGATTACGAGGTAAAATAAAATATTCTATCTCGTAAATATCGTAATGATGTTTGAAGACAAATTCCTAACATTATTTAGAAAGATAATTCCAATACCACAAAATATGTTAAGATTATAATAATTAAAAGTTTTTAAGTTATAAAACAGGCATTATTGATGCTATTTCTCAGCGCACGTGGAGCACCTTTGACATGCAAGTGAGTCGAGTGCTCACTGAAGTGAGATAACAATGTTTTGTTTACGTTTAGCGAATCGCATGCAATATTGCAGTATCAGTAGTGCGATATTCGTCAAAAGGTAAAACAAAAATTCATTTTGATATCTCACTTAATCTATACTATAGTGATCTACATAAATTTGTATATAAATTTGATGTACATAAATTTGAATAATTTACACAATTAAAACAGACTGGAAAAGAAATTAGAAATTACTCTATTTAAAATTAAGTCAATATATTAAAATTGTTTAATATCATTACCATTTCTGGAATGCCTAGCAATAGTCTGAGTTGTGCCAGGAATGTGCCTACTATAGCAGTTTCTTCGGGAACAAGAGTAATAGCTTCATTCTCTCGTGTGCTCTCACAAACTTCTGATGATGGATTAATCAAAATTACACCACCCCATCTATATCAATTGTACAAATAATTGAACTAAATTAGTTTCAAAATAATGTATTTGTCGAAAAAA